CTTATTCTAAATGCTTATACAACACAAACGTACTAGATATCCCTGATCAATCAAAATTACTTTCTCTACAATATATTCCTTATGTTCTACATTATTGTGTCTGTTTAAAGATATGTTCCCTCAAGCATAATTGGGTCAACTGTTTGAGCCACCTTAAGTGCAATACATTAAATTTGTAGATTGTTAAAAGAGTTTCCATTGTAACAAATATATTTTTTCTGGCAGTTTGAGTATGTTTTCTAATAGATGGTTCTGTGTTTAGCAATGCAATTGTGAAGGAAGAGGAAATACATCTTTATATTTATTAGAAATTTCAATTGGTAGACCAACGTCATGTATGTATGGGTGCCAAAGAAGATGAGCGAGGATCATTTGGCCGGTTAATAGCTGTTCTGATTAATCCAATCCATCAAAAAAGTCTCCTTTTTGGTCAGTAACCTATGATAACACACAAAACCTAACCTACCATCACAAACTACATGTACAGCATGTAATAAGATAAGAATTAAATTACTATACATGTTAACACCAATGTAATGAGCCCAGCACTTCAAACATAGGACAGTGCACTTTCAAAATGTTCTTGGGTCAATAAGCATCTAATAATGGTAAATGAACACTCCAAAAATCCTTTTAATAGAAGACCTAATTTTTTGTTCAAAGAGCAGCAAATTTCTTAATAGATGTTGAGATGATTATAGAGGTTATGATGTAGATACAGCTGTGTAATTGACACTGACACAAAGACGACTCAAGTACATGTATGGCATAACAAAATCAAAACTGTGTTTACAGGCCCCTTTTTTGAAAATGAGTTTTCGTGTGGACATAGTTGAAATTCTTGCCATTACTGTAAGTATTGTGTTGGGTATTATGTTTTAGTCAGCTGTGCTTCAATGACATGATATTGTATGTTATGTTATATTGTATAGTATTTAAGGTGTTTAGAGTGTTGTATTTAGGTTATACACCTGATGGGTACATTGTTATTGCTGGTGTTCAACTATGTTTATCTTAACATACCTTTAGTAAAAGGACAACTTTTTAAAGCAATTACTGAATAATAGATCCAACTAGATTAGAATTCGGGAGGGGGCAAGGAATGTTTAATTTTAATTAAGATATTGTCTTTGATACATTTTTTTTAAAAAAAATGACCTTTTCTTTATTTGTGAAGAAATCATAAGACAATTTAATATACCAATATTTTAAATTAGAATTTTAACAACACAATTCATCTAATAATAAACAATGATTCATACAAACGAGTTTAGGATTCACATTTCTATGAATAGTCAACATTAGCAACGAAAAAAAAATATGTAACTAGTTGACAACTATCTAGTTTTATTGATATGAATTTGGCACCATGACAAAATTACTGAATCAGATTGGTATATGACTAATCTGTAAACATTGACAGCTGATTCAAAATTAATTATAGTTATCGCTAACTTAAATTAATTTCTATACATGTATTGCCAGAAACCATTGCCTTTTAATTACTCAAACATGTATATTACATGTATAATACACATATTAAATATGTACTTATAATTTTTTTTTTATCAAAAAGCCATAATCCATAAAGGACAATAATTAGATGACAGTGTCATAATGTGCTATTTTTGGTCCAGTGTACAAAAAGAGAATTGATAACTGATTAACATAAAAAATAAAGTATAGAATAGCATAATTGCAGCAGTTTTTTACTAATTATAGATTCTTTTTGGCCCAATTTGTTGATGGTGAAAATAAACTCAGCTATATGTATATACATGTATATCTTAACACTGGCTTTTTCTGTGGAGCTAAATCTTGTCTTTCTGAATTTCCCACAGAGGCTCAGTACTATCTGAAGGACTGTATGAGGCTTGTTTGATATTTACAAACAAATGTATTATACAAAAGGACAAACGTAAAACATTATCAGGAACCTACAGTTTAGTAAATGGTAACATATGCACCAAAGTATTAAAACAGAAGTTTGGCCTGTTTGAAATATAAATTCAATTTGTTTAAAAATATGTCTAGCCAAAACCACCTGTATATATGTACATAAAGTACATAATATATGTAATGAACCAATCTAACCATGACATAACTGGGTGTGACAAAATACAGCAATATGAAAGTCTATAGGATATGCTTACCAAATATGGATTTTTTTTCTAACTCTACATGTAGCATAGTTAAAGTAAACAATATTATTGTATACAATATACATGTACTTCATATTCAATTTTAGCATGAATGTTATTGCAACCCAATTTTATCTGAGTTAATACACAAAATATAAAGCACTTATTTTAGTAGAAAGTTGTTCAAATCCGCTACTGTATCAATATAAAAATACAAACTGGTGTGAATATTACTCAAATAAGGGTAAAAAGAACTATCAAATCATTTTCGACTGGTGACTAACATCATTCCATACCAGAACTCTGACCCTTTTTCTCAGCATGCAATACAGGTACAGTAATGTGAGTGATGGACAGATGTGGCTAGTCTTTAGAATCTATCCACCACCAATAAAAACTATATTAAAGTAGGTACATCCAGTACTTCAAGTAAGGTATAGTGTTGGAAAAAATTTATGGACAGATTCACATATCACCCACGACTCTCCTACATGCCTATAGCTTATATGAGTAGACCTATCAAATATATCCATAGTTATTCACATCAAATAATCAATGTCAAATATAATATACATTACAGCAGTTAAATGAAAGACAGAATCATTTTATTTTAAAAGTGACATTTTGCTTATCGACTTATCTCATCTTTTCATATCCTGTTCTAATAATAATCAATGTATCAAAAATGGGTTATCAAAAAATAAATACAATATCTTCTGCTTAGACTTATATTAGTCAATAAAAGTACAGCACAAACATGAGTACAATATACATTTGAAGTGTTTTTCTTACATAAATCCAGTATAGAATTGTGTTGGGGCTTTATTTTTGGGGGTAAAACTTTATCTTCAAGCAAAATGTGCAGTATTGCAAAAAAACAGCTGTATTTGCTTTCTATAAATGTTCTCATAACAAAATATTGTTTAAACTAATTGCATTCCTTTAGAAAATAAATGAAACTTAACTAAAAAAGTAATTTGTATTGAAATAACTTCGAAGTATGCTGGCTAATGGCTATGCAGTAAATTTAGAAATAAAAATAATAATTAATCTTTAGCGTTTGTCTTGACAAAGTTACCAGTAACAATCATAAAGATGATTCCACTAACATTTGCAGAAACCATTCCAATTATGTGAAAATGATTGAACACTATATAGCATTACAGTTAATCAAACAAAAGTTGATTAGTCACTGTGAGATATGTGATTACAGTCTAATCACTTTTGTGCAACTGGGAGTTTGTAAACTGCCATTTTAATTCCTTCAGGCAATTGCCCTATCACACTCCTCATTGATTTTATGGCCAATTTAGATGTTTATCAAACACACAACTGACAACCCAAGGATCTAATATGTGAGTGCTGCATTCTCCTCTTTCAATAGCCCCTTAACCCCTTTAATACATGCCATTTATTGACTGATGTAATCATTATATTATATTAACTAGTTAGAACAACCCCAATCACTTCATCATTGATGGTTAATAAATGTAATGATAACTACTTTGACGGATGTAATTTGTGGGCTTTTATGCAATATTGATAGGGCAAAGAAACCATAAACACTTTCATTAACAACTTATTAATTAACTACTTTATGTTTCTGTTAAGCTGAAATATCCAGTTGTTCTTGGGGAGAAAGGGTGCAGCGCCTCAAATAGTGAATGCACTGAAAAGTCAAGACGCTCTCCTTTGAAATATATTTCAATATGCAATTTCAGTATAATTATATAGTGAAATCATCATTGAATTAGATTTGAATAAGCGATAAATAAGTATCTAAAAATAACATACACCTACATGTACAACATATTCTCAGTGAATACTTATTCATCATTGTTTATTCCTATTGCCTATTTGGCTGGAATATCCACATTTAATGGTAGCACCTGACTGGTTATTCTTACTTATTTAGCAATTATCTTAAATTTTCATGGCATCATTCTTATTAGCTGACATTTTTTTCGGTTATTCAGGAAATTTCATTGGCAAAAATAATTCCAAATATATCCGGTTATCATCAATAAAAGTAAGCATAAAATGCATTAAGCCTGTCATGTTAGAAATAGTTCTTAATGGAGAAAAATGAACAAAAAATCTCCATTTTCATAACTGAAACGTCTTTCATGTTTGAATGACATCCCTCCAAGTACGCAGTTTGGCAATTTCCCAAAAGATTTGGTCAGCGAAGAGATACGAAACAAGTGGTTAACAGACGGCTAAGAAATTACACTTTTATTTATAATCTTACATTATAACAGGAATAACGTGCTAACTTGTTCATTTTCTGGGCTATAACTCACACTTCCATCAACAAAATGTTATATCTTGGTCAAACTAACAAAAATACTTCAGTCACGCCGAAACGTTTTGGGGAAAAAATGTTATTTTCACGCAGCGCCTTGCCATTAACACATCAGGTATGATTTTGACAACGCGTGAAGACATTCAAGTAAATCAAATTTTACAAGTACAATACGAAGTTCCACAAATATGTTCAATGACATTTATATGTGTACATTTTAACTTCAATTATCTAAATGGAAAATGATATAAAAACGGAAACCATGTCAAAAACTATTTTACTCCATTATTTAGGACAATTTTAACGTTGTGTAGGTGTATGTTCTAATACTGTATACCCTCGTTTCCCCTGCTTTATATTGTGGAACATCACTAGAGATACATTGTGTAAAAATAACGCTGAAACTTGTCGACCGATCCAAGAATTTACCCGAGCGTTCATCAATTGCCGTGAAATATCACCCATCCACTTAACTTTTACCTGGGCGTTATGAGAAGTGAGACATGTCATTACGTAAAATAGACCACAGTAAAACATTATATTCTATTTCTTACCTTTGCAAATACCTTCTTCTTGCCCCGTAATGGCCTGTCCAACTTTGGGCGAAATATAACATCGCAAATTATCAGCACACTTGCCTAGCAATCCAAAATTTCCACCACAACTTTCATTGACTAATTTAGCACACACATTACAGCAATTACAAATTCCTTTGGTAAACCCGCCTGGGCAATCCTTGGGGTCGGGTGAGCATAACTCCGGATCGCAAACTCCACAACTCAAAGCACTGACAGAATAATTGCGAAGTATTAGTGACAGTCCTACACTTAACAGAACAAGTAACCCGCTCGAACTTTGAGTGATCATGCCGTCATCTAAATTGAAACGGACTAAAAACCTTTATCCAGCACGAAATTCTGAAAACTTAAACAGGACGCACCTTACAACCAACATTTTCCACCGGTGCGACATCACAACTAAATTCACTGAGCTTATCTTGAAAACAAAATGCTGTCTGCTCGCACAACTAATTTTGTTTCCGGTGTTTGAGAAGTCATCCGGGTAACTAGTTTAGGCGCGCGCTACCGCTAGGGGTCTCAATGCTTCGTGAGTTGCCTGCCAAGAGAAAGTAACGCCCCTGAAAGTTTAGTTGACAGGTAGATGTCGAAGTGAAATTTCAGTCTAACATTCAGTCTAACAGCGAACGAACCTTATATTAACCGAACACAGCAGCTTTTAACGATCGCATATAGTGTACTCAGAGCAGTGTTATCTAGCCGAATGTTAGGCTATATACAGTGACTTGTGTTCATCGAACAAATAATACGCACCGACCGCTTACCTGTAATCCATGAATGACAGGTGTGAAGGCAATACATTATATTCGCCGCCCTTGTATCTAGCCCAGTCATGTGACATTTTCATGTGTAAGCTACGCGTGGTAAAAAATTCAAAAGCATACAGAATACCTAATTGTGTATTACAAAAAGTTTTGCAATCACTTTCTCTTTTTGCGTAAATACAGTTGCGTCAGTTTCCTAACCTTTCGTTTCGATTTCTAACTCACAGCGTGGTATTTTTTAGAAGAGACTCTTATCAATTTTGATTAAAATAACCCCCAAAAAACAAGAGCGCGGATATTTTTGTGAATTGCCATTGATGTCCATACAAAACATATCAAATTCATATTAGCGCTGTACATTTATTTATGATATCAAATGACCCTTTATCAGACCATAGTTTACTCGGAATGTGCCGTGGCACATTTGTGTCATAACATGTACAACAATATAGGCCAATCGACAATTATAAACAACTGCTTATCTATGTATATGTTAAAGATGATATCGGGCTATTAAGTTGGGAAAATGATCATTGTGAAAGAGAACAATTGCAAAGACAGACGAAAGTCTACGCTGCACAAAATTACACTGATGCTTGTTACAAATATATTAGATCATCTTCTCTGTTTTAGATATGAAATTATGATATTAATAAGATTAGTAGACCTTTGTGGTCACATTCAGTAATATTAATATTATATTTAAACTAAAAATGGTATGTTTTTTCTCTCCAGTACATATGCTCGTTAACTGAGTTAAAATTATTTTTAAAAAAATTGCAGACATTATGTCTCTGTAGATGTTACATGAGGTGAAATATTACAAAATTATGACAATACATCAAAATGGTTGGGATATGATAAGAGATATAACTGGTATTTGTTATACTTCTTATTATTTGCTTCATTGTGCGCAGTATTTCTTTTACTTTGAAGAAGGTAAATGCAACGCAAATCTATTGTTAGATTTATAACATGTATTTTGAAGCATGAAAGAAATTATTAATCGAGTGTGAAACGGTGGGGGATGATACGAGTAACTCCTTCAAATAAAACCCCCATTTAAAGTTTATTGTCAAATGTCCCATGGTCAAAGGTGCCAGTTACCGTCTCTCTGATCACGCGTATAATTGTTTGTCAGCACACGACCCAAGGAACCAGACGGAAGTTAAGAGATAAAACATATTATTGTGTCGACGTCTAATTGCAACCGAGAATTTCCTTACAGTGTCTGATTAACCCATTGGTTTTGTAGAAAGTTGATCTCTCACGTGCTTCGTGGACTTGACAGTTTTATTTTTTGTAACATCTGCCGTTTTCATTTAATTTATACAAAAAACGCCGAATAGGGACGATAAAATAAAGAAATCAAATTGGCCTTTAGTAATGGAACATTTGGAAAACACGAACTGAATGTATAATACAGAACACAATTTGATTAAATTTTACCGTCCACATATGTCACACGATATAAGCAATCACAAGCCATGCTAACAAAACCATAAAATACACAGCATGACGAACAGGTAGAAGCAAACATTTAATAAGATTTTAACACCCGATCAGTTTCTCGTCCTGTTCAATAATGTCATAACCCGGGAGCCCAGTGAAATTTAATCAAAATATTGAACCCAAATGAACCACGGTGGCTCAGTGAGTAAGACGTTGGTTCGCCAAGCTGGAGGTCTCGTGTTCGATACAAGCGTTGGCAGAGAAAGCTCATCTGGATTTTCCGGCGTTGTTCCACCTTGCCAGTGGTGCAGGACCAAGAGACTGGCAAGGGACAACGTGTATTAGATCGGATGGGACGAAAAATCGTGCACACGTTAGCGTACATGTAAAAGATCCATTGGCAGTTGTATTCGATATAAGAGTAGACCGTAGTGATGCTGTCCGGATAGAACCCTGTATATGGCGTATGTCAGTCTTCATGAGCCCAGTCGGATCAGAACAGTCCAAGTCGTTAAACGCCATGTTATTTCGATTCACGTGCTGACCCAGAAAGGGCTATTCCATGTTACCAGGCGTGGATCCAGGAAATCTGGCCCGAAATAGCGTTCCATTATTCGCGAATTGTCACTATAACACTTCAGTATGGAATCCCCCGCCCCTGCTAGATATCCTGGATACCCCTTTGGCAGTGATACAGCATGGAGGGCCTGGCAAGAAAACAAAAGTCGAGTCGTTTGGGTGGTACGAAAAATCAAGGTCCCATTAAAGATCACCTGACAGTTGGAAATAGAAATAAAAGTTAAGTCGTAATATCGCCGCGCATCGGCAAAATAATTTCTATCTAGCACACTGCCTGACGCATGCCCTCTTCGTTAGCCCAGCTGATGCAGACAAGTAGGACGTTAAGCCCCGTTTTATTTCATTCTGCATATTGGATTTAAGGTAGTCGTCCAATTTATACCGAATACCCCACGAATTCTTGACAAGACATATATTATAATATTTGAGTTAAACTATAATTGGGTAATACATCATTTTATCAATAAAACACACACAGATAAAGCTCTCAAGACACGGTGTTTTATCGACTGTAAATTGTTATAAACAAATAACCAAACTGACGAAATCCGTATGAGGATGTTAAAAAGAAACACTTTATTTAAAAAAAAAACAACAGCTTTCATTTTTTAACGCTATAAAATGTGATGTTAAGGCAAAAACTGAAAGAAACTTCCTGAATGAATAATATATTTTGTTACTTGTCATGCATATTAAAATCTTATAGCATTTGCAATATCTACTATTAGGTACATTTTCCACAATGATAACCCTATACTAAAACACAGTAAGAAGTAAGTATAGTATATAATATAATATAATGTAGATCTATATCTACTGGTGGACATATGTTTGTTTATATCGAATGGAATGATGTATAAACATCGTTTTATTAGAGCAAACGGAAGGGTTGGGAGAAGTCTTAACATTTTTTGGCGTTGAGGTGTGGGTTGAAAGTTCTTTCGGTATTCCCGCTTGACCAGCTTGTCGGTTGATATATCAGACGTGGGATCACCACACACAGCACATCATGTATATGTACTAATAAACTACAAATCCTTGAACCAAATACTGAAGTGTAAAATGTATTTATATACTAATATACTTTATGACATTTCCGTTACGATAAACATACGTCGAAATGCCATTCTTTTTGGAATGGGTCTACAATTTTAGCTGGTATATATCTAATGATTTGGGTAGTTTGAATGAATACGTATTTAAACAACTTGGCAGGCTAATGTTGGCCATTTTCACGATGTTATCTTTACAAATCCAATTCCTATCTATGACGTTACCTTTACATATGATTGCTTAGAAATCATATTCCAAACTAACTCTCCCCATGCATAGTACACGGGGCTGGTTATGCGTACTATTTAAGAATATCTATTTTCTTACGTATTTATACTACTTGGAATCTGACGATGTCCATAGCTCCAAGTCAACAGATATTATAGCCCTGGCTTCTTAATCCAAGCCCACTGTACTATAGATGGGGGTAAAACGTCCGCTTCCACCTACGTTATATTGATGACAAGAAACCATTTTGTTATCACACCCACTTAGTATATAATTACGTGTGTCCTGTGCAAGGCAGTGTATGATTATTCTTTCCAGAACACATGATACCATTTCTCATTTGTCTGATAACTTATAATCAATTTAGTTATCTTAATATATATTTGGAGCTCTTTTAAGATAACAAATCATAAAATTAAACATCAAATTTAAAAAAAAAAAGACAATGCAATGTATGTGCTATTCGTCACGTAACTGAATTTTATTCCATTTATTATAGTTTCTAATTCCGGATAATGTTTGTACAAGTTGAATACATCCGATGAAATCATTGTTTAACAAACCTATTCAAGATTAACATTTAGTCATAAATTTCATTTCCGAGAATTCTATTTTAGACTACCAAATAACGGAAATATTTTACAATAACACGGTTTATTAAATTATGCAAGACTTGCGATAATATTGAATAAGCTTGATAGTGGGGCGTTAGATTTATAAGCACTTGTTTTAGATATAAGACATAAATGAAGGCCAGATTTGAAGTATTTGAATTATGAATAGTTGACATGAAGGGGTTTATATAGGTTGGCCACATATGTTGTACGTCTGACCAGAATAACCTTACACTGCTGGTTGGCCGCATTCTTTGCTTTTCTTTCTGCGAGTTCCTACCATCCTATAATACGTGTTTGTTTCCACAAGTTGGGAATATTTTACCTATTGGTACCTTACGTTAAATCTGTTAGTTCTTTTATAACGTTTCCACATACTTAGCATTCACAGGATTTCTATCAACCCTACTTGATACAATGACATCTGAGGACACTGTCCTTCATTCACACATTAACTGAATTCCATTGTTTTATTGGTGTTCACAAAGACGAATAAGAATATACAATTTAAGTTTTACAGAATATTTTTCTATTTAAGACTTCCGACATTTCAAGGCATGTAATAGCGTCAGTTTCAGAAAAGAACAATAAGCCTTAATAGGTTATGTATCTTTCAAGAACTCAAATTTCAAATACATGTTTTTAATTTTAAAGTCTTTGTAATCAAAAGTAGTATAACCGAAACTGTTAGCCATGCGAACTTCTTAAACAAAAAATACCACATTTTCTTCAAAGGGAAACCAGTTACTACTTACAGCTAGAGCGGTAGTTTGGACGATGTTTGGTTTCTGGGGAGCCACGGTGGCTAAGTGGGTAAGACGCTGGCTTGCTAGCCTGGAGGTCGCGTGTTCGATCCCTGCATTAGCCGAGAAAGTTCATCGGGACTTTCCGGCGTGGTTTCCTCCTGTGTGATGCAGAACGGAGGGTCTGACAAGGACAGCTGTCTAGTCGTTTGGATGGGAATGAAAAACCGAGGACCCGTGTATACATTGACGTGCACGTAAAAGATCCCTCGGCAGTTGGAATTCGATATAAGAGGTC